ACTTCCTGCACACACGCTCTCACTTCCTGCACACACGCTCTCACTTCCTCCACACACTCTCACTTCCTGCACACACGCTCTCACTTCCTCCACACACTCTCACTTCCTCCACACGCGCTCTCACTTCCTCCACACGCGCTCTCACTTCCTCCACACACTCTCACGTCCTCCACAGGCGCTCTCACTTCCTCCACACGCGCTCTCACTTCCTCCACACACGCTCTAACTTGCTCCACACACACTCTCACTTCCTGCACACACGCTCTCACTTCCTCCACACGCTCTCACTTCCTGCACACACACTCTCACTTCCTCCACACGCACTCTCACTTCCTCCACACGCGCTCTCACTTCCTCCACACGCGCTCTCACTTCCTGCACACGCGCTCTCACTTCCTCCACACGCGCTCTCACTTCCTCCACATGCTCTCACTTCCTGCACACACGCTCTCACTTCCTCCACACACACTCTCACTTCCTCCACACACGCTCTCACTTCCTCCACACACGCTCTCACTTCCTCCACACACACTGAAACATGTTCCTGGTTTCTTTCAAGCAGGTCAAGATGGCGACTCACAGAACCTCCGACCCACCCTGAAATTATTCATGACAGGAGCTTTTCAGCACGTTTGGACGTCCCTGTGTGTCAAACTTGTGCGTCCACAGCTGAGTGCGGACATTCAGCTGTGTGGTCAGAAGTCACAGCAACACAACCTGTTTCATGGAAACACACTGTTGTGCGTCCTTCACACTCCCTCTCTGCCTGAGTCACCCACACCAACATCACACAGCAGTGACACAACCACACACTGAGGGATCAGTGGGTCTGTCAGTGCTCGTCAAGGGTCAGTGTCATCACGCCTCCTTTGAAAAATGCTCACTACAAATAAATACGATTGTTTTTCTGAGTAATCACACTTCATCATATGTTGTTCCCTCTGAGAGCGGCGCTCCTGTCTCATGTGACACGAGGCCCCACTGAGCGTCTTGATGCTTCTCCACCATTCACAGGTGACAAATGGACCCTCAGGCCCCCTCCTCCATTCAGATGGTCTTTCCCTCCTTGGCTCCGCCCTCAAACCAGCGTTCCTCCCTGTCCAGGACGTTACATCCTCATCCTTGAAGTGTCCACTGGCCTACAGGTGTGAACAGAGGCTCAGCTGTGTTGGGCTGTCCGCTCACTGAGCAGTTGCTAAATATGAAAGCCGTATGAATCACATGATATAGATTTCACAGTGCAGCGTTTCTCATTCAATTAAACTTTATTCGTACAGTTGCCTCGAGCTGCTTCATACTGTCAGTAGCTACAATAATACAGAGAAGGGAAGAAGACAGTCGTCCGGGTGTGAAGCTGCACTGGAGAACTGGTCCATGTGCTCAACAAGGACTACTGTGGCTACCTTCAGTTCAAGAAGGTGGAGCTGTCCGTCTACAAGATGACCAACTGATTATTGATTATTTATCGCCACAAAGGAGATATATTTGTATTATTTAGTTAGAAAACTGAGTGCATGTAAATCTGAGGGATCTGCAGGCGTCCGGCACGTCGGGGAGGTTTGGGCTCAATCAGTCCTTTCAACCCAAACAAACAAACTAATATATAAATGCATTAATAAATCAGAGCATCTCTTTTAAAACCAGTGAAGCAGAAACGTGAAGCTTCTCTCCCGAGGTTTCTCTGACAGCGTGCGGTGGAGTCTTCAGGGTAAGGCTGTGCACTTTCCCGGGGAAGCAGGTAATTGAAATGCTGTGGCTGAGGCTTCTTTTTGAGGTGTCAGAGTGTGTTACAGACATGCTTCCAGCCTCTAATCTAAGGTGAGTTAGTGCTGACGTCTGCTGTGCCATGACTATATTTGAGATGGCAGTGACCTAAGCTCCTGATCAGCTTCCATTAGGCCTGCCGCTGGCTGCAGCTCCTGCTGCACAGCTCCGTCGGTACACAGACAGCAAGCTGCCAGCTCCGCTCACCGTCTCTCACGCCCATGGAGAGAACATCAGCTTACACCACAGCTAAACTAAATTACCCCAAAATTCAAAGAGTTCCTACGTCTAAGTGAAACGGGTTTCAAATTTGTGACAATCCAACTGAGCTCTGCACATCCCTGGTGCTTTGAGTGGTAGCGCACAGTGCTGAAGCCTTGTTAGACGTGGTAGAAACAGGATGCAGCGCA